TAGTTGTGGCGACTAGCTACGTTTATGCTCCTCTCACACGGCATCCCTACTACGATTACCCAAGATCCGAATCTACTCGCTCTCTATCAGAGATTCGTCTGCGCTTTCAAATTCTGTGGGCTAAACAAACTCGATCCTGATTGTTAAAACGGTTCAAAAATGTTCTAATGGGGCTCAACTGCGATGGAAAGTGTTCGTGTTTTCGAAAGCGTGGCTCTATTCAAGCCGCCAGTACTTTCCCAAAGTGCGTTTGCATCTGTGGGAAAACCAATCTGTCTTGTAGTTTCTGGTCCTTAGCAGATAATACAGACTAAATAAGCGAAGTGCTTACGCGCAAACATCTGAAGCACAGCTACAGCGCGCGTCAAGCACGCGCGAGCGTCGCAGTGGATGCTACGTTTCGCGTGCTCCTCTTCAAGATTGGTCGATCGCAGCGCCGCCGCTGCTGGCGACGCCGCCGGAGTCACGCGGAAGCTGCCGCCCGCTTCACTGCCCTTCTAGTACACTGTAACAGCAGGGAGAGGCGAGGGTAACGCTCTCGATGATGATAGTCCGTGGTCGGTCTTGGTCAGACATAAGTTCCACTCGATATACCACCACCAGGGAGAGCCCACCGTCAGGAAGAAGGTCCGCAGCCCTGGAGGAACGGGTAAAGGACTGCACAACGGGGGCAGCCAGCTCGCTTGAAGCTCGCCGGCCATCTTCAGCCGCTTGAAGCTTGCCGGCCCTAAACTTTTAGAAAGTCATACAGCTATGATGTCAATAACGGGGCGTAGCTGTCTCAGCTCTGTCCATACGGTCTGATGGTAGTAACAAAGGTGGGTACGCCGAGAAGCACGGCAAAACGTACACAAAAATGTGCTACCGGTGTAGTGTATGAATTTCCCCTATCCTGCATGCGGCAAGATGTATGTCGGCCAGATGTGGAGGTGCGTGAATGAGCGTGTGCGGAAACACGAGCTTTAACCTAAAGGTACAGATGGGACACATTTGGCAATGCACTGCAATTTTCATAAGTGTGAGACGTACCTCAGTAATATTGAGGTTATCATAAGAAGCAGGGATACCACGGCTCGAGACGATTGGAGTCTTTCCTCATGAAAGCACGAGGTTTCCTTACATATCAGAGATACGTCAGTGCCTCGCAGGCAGAGAACAAGTTCTTAGTTCGCAGGTCGTTATTATAATGGTTTGAACTGAATGTGTGTTTGGATTTCTGCGCATGTCTTTGTATAAATTTTGGTGTAGAACATGTTCAATAAAAGGTCGAAAGTTGGCGCTCCCTTTGACGCCTTTCCTCGTTGTTTTGTCGCGCAAAATTAGCCATACTTTTGTGGCCTGTCCAGAAGCATGAACCGACTAGCTTACCAAAGAGTACTTCTAGACCACGCCTTGTGGTTCTACCGGTACTACCACCTACCTATTTCTGTGGTACGTGTACGCCCTTTTGTAATGACAGTTTCCTGATAGGCCGCACTGTGACCCATATTCGTTGTTGTTTTCCTCCAGGCATGGCACATACACAGTGGAGGGAATCGACCGAATAACGAGTGAATTTTCCCCAATACTTTCTGCATTTCTTCATTTCTAGAAGCGCTAATTAGTTAATGATTCGAAGTGCCATTCTTCAGTTTGGAAATATTTAATGCAAGCAGGATTTAGCAAGACAATCGTTTAGTCACCGTTATATACTCCTGAACGGCAAATAAAACATCCCTGTGGTTGTACCCCAGTGTAGAGGCTAGAAAAGAACAGGTTCTGATATTTGCAGGCCCATTTTTCGAAAAGGTGGTGCTCCTGAATAAATTGAATGGGGGACAAGATAACAAAAAAAATGACCAATCGTTTCCTCCTGATTACAGTGAAGCCACATAGGGGAATTCTATAAGCCTGATCTATGCAAGTAAAAATTGAGGGAGGTAATGTGGCAACAAAATTTCGTGACGGCCACTGCCGTCATTCTTGATTTAGAAAGGTCGCTGCGCCTGGCATATAACAAGTGGCTGTGCTCCTTGTAGAAGTAGTCAGTGCAAGGTCTGATGAACTTTACCTGAATGTATAAGCGTGCGAAATCGCGCCCCGTAATGATGATAGTTTTCTTCTTCAATTTAGTGGACCATTTATTCAGTTTCTTTATCACATGCCTGTTTACGATGATGATAGTTTTCACGTAGGCCGCACGGCACATACCCGTGGGTCGCGCAATTTAAGGCTAACCTAAACAGCTTTAATGTTAATGACACTGTAGCGGCGAGAGAAGGAGAGACGTGAGATGACGTCGAAGGCGGCCGATGGGGCCGTGCCGATCTCGCCACTTTATTGCAGGCCTGAAACGGAGCCACGTCGGCTACCAGCGTCCGCCACGCCAGGCGTGTCAGCTCGTTCTAATTTTCGCGCAGCTCAAGCTAGCATCTGCTGCGCGAGAGGCGCGGCGCGGTGATTGAGAAAATGATGATGATGATCATGCACTACAGGGCTCCCCCCCTAGCGCTTTGCGCGATTTGAAGTGTATATGACAAAGAAAGAGAAAGAGACTATGTACATGAACGACAATCCGCAAGGTGTCCGTTTAGGAAGTCCAGTTTGTCAACGTGTAGTGACCAAAGGGAGCCAGTGGGTCTCTGGTGGGCGACACTGGGAGTTGCGCAGAGGACGAAGAAGTAAGCGTTCCGAAACTGTGTTTGCACACAAGTGGGTGACAGGATGACCAGCTGGGGCTAGCTGGGAGCGCACAGGGTGTCGCGAGTGAGCATTGCAGGTAGTAAAGATGCGTTCAGGGTGAGGTGACGACGGGTGCACAAAAGCCGATTTGGCCCCTGCGCGCGAAGCAATTAGAAGTGGCATAGTGAAGTCCTGCAGACCACCCATTGACAAGCAATGGCCTTGACGGTGCCCTCGCGGGCGTGCACAGCACTGGTGCCGATGTCGGTACGCAGGTGTCGTGACGTGAGTGGCATCTGAATATGAGTGGATCTGACCACCCACGCTGGCAGTGAGCAAGTAGGATTGTACACGCCGGGCAGAGGTGAATGACGCATGCGGCCCGTAAAAGGGTGTGCCCACAGTCCAGTCACACGCCAGCTCGCCCACGGCTTCCGTCAAGAACTCAGCAGGAGGCGTGTCACGGGATCCAGCAGACATGGACTCCAGAGGAGGCTCAGTGGGCGTACCCTGACCTGGCGAATCACCCTCAGTAGTCGGCGCACGTCGGTTCGTGCGCAGGTCGGTATGGAAGATGGGTGCCCGCATGCCAGGCGTGAGATGTGCGGTCTGCTGTGACATAGGCAGATCAGGCACGTCGTCCTCAGGAGCGTCGGTCAGAGTCGCAACATCTCGGAAGTCTGGCCGTGGTTGACAGCCCTTGGCTTCAACCTCGCCCGTGAGAGACCGCGAGGGCGAGGATGGTTGCTGCCGGCCGGACACGCAGATTACCGAGGTGAGTGGAGAGGCACCCCCGGACATCGTTGACACTGAAGCCCTCGCGACCGGGGGGTGAACAGCAGGCGTGACGATGTCCGCAGTCGTTGTAGACGCCAGGGCGCTCGATGACGCCGCCGTCGCAGAACCCGACGTGTCAGCCGTGCCGTGAGCCACGGAGGTCGGCTGAGACGAGCCGGCGGCAAGCATGCCTGCAGCGTCGTCGGCCGAGGACGATGAAAACACAAATCTCGTGGCTGACTGGTTGCATTCAGCCCAAATGTCGACAACCTTGGCGGATGGGCAGTCGAGCGCAGGACACGCGTCGCCAGTGGCCAGACGAGAGGTTAAGTCTCGTTTATCGGACGTTGTTGAAGGCGAAAGCTTCGAGGTAGGGAAGTCAACAACGGGCGAAAGGTCACCTGTGCCAGACTTCAATGCGGGCGGCAAGGTGGTCGTCATGGACTCCGGTGGGGCCACGGTGTCGCGTGCCGTCGCTCTCATGGAAAACATGGAGGTAGCAAGCATGCCAGAAGTACCATCGGCCGCGGACCTCGAAAAAACGCACCCCGTGGTGGAGAGGTCGTCGGCAGCAGGAACGACCTCAAGAACCTCGTCGGATCTGTGACCGGGTGCGAGACTCACCGCGCCAGCGGCCAGATCCAAGGCGGAGGGAGACGTTGTCGGGGAAGCTAGGTCCTGGTCAGTGAAGACTTTTGGGCCGGAGGGTACCGCACGCTGCGACGCGGACGAAACCTGTAAGTCGCGGGTGAACGGCAGCGGGTGGTAGGTGAGGCCATGTCTGGCAAGCACCGCAGAGCAGAGGTCATCGTAAGGCTGCTGGCTGGAGGTTGAAGTGCCAGAGAGATGACGCAACTCTACCGGAAGGGCGTCTTGAAGAATGGCGTGCATCAGCGGCTGGTCCGTGACGCCATTCACCGCAAGAACGGCGTCGAGCTGCATAAACCATACCTTTGGGTAGGTCGATTGGAACGGCGGCACTGGCGGGCAGAGTTGCGGGAACATGGCCGCGGGCCGTTCGGCGAAGGGCGTGTTCTCCGGGTCACCAATGTAGCGGCAAGAGAAGGAGAGACGTGAGATGACGTCGAAGGCGGCCGATGGGGCCGTGCCGATCTCGCCACTTTATTGCAGGCCTGAAACGGAGCCACGTCGGCTACCAGCGTCCGCCACGCCAGGCGTGTCAGCTCGTTCTAATTTTCGCGCAGCTCAAGCTAGCATCTGCTGCGCGAGAGGCGCGGCGCGGTGATTGAGAAAATGATGATGATGATCATGCACTACAACACTATCGTGAAGGTGTAAATGCACCCGAAATGACGGCGTCATTCCTTCGATGCGACTGTGCCTCCACGCGAACAATGAAATTCTGATGATTAGCAGTGTCAGAATACCCAATGGTCCAGTAAATACCGCAGCCACATGCGTTCGTGTTCGCGAGGTGGGACGGAAGATGAAGTGCCTCGAGCGCGAGCGGTGCGTTTCGGCTGGTGCACAAGGGCGGCGCTTGGCAGCCGCTGTTCCGACTTCAGTAAGGGCCGCAACGCCGCGTCCGCTACACAACCGACATGGCGGTGAGTGGGGCACGTACCTTTGAACTCTTATTCTTTGCTAGCAAGCTCGGTGTGACTAGCAGTTCCGATTCTCTGTTACCGTAGCTCACGATGCAGGCTTACGCATGTAAGCCTGCTTTCAAAATGACTACGGAACAAATGGTGATAATAAATGCGCATTGATATAAGTGCACATGGGCGAGCTTACCTCAGCCTGAGGCGTAGACAGCGGGGCAATGAGCACGTTGAACCTCATGAGTTGTTCTGTCCCCGCACAGCTGGCAACGTGTCGTATTGCTCTATATTTAAACTTCCTAAAGGGCCCCTAGACCACCCAGAGGTCGAATTTTAGTCGTTGTTTTGCACTTGTGCATGAGTCTCCAACGAACCTGTGGTGACGACAATTTTTTTTTTCTAAACGGGGCCATAACAGCGGAGTTACACGTGTTTCGTGACATTAAATACGCCCTCGCTCGTCCATTCGCTCGTCGGCTGCTATAGCTTCTCCTGGCCGAGTGTTCTTCCTCAGCGTGCGAGGAGGATATCTGTGAGTGGACGAACAAGTGTTGTACATGACGAGCAGACGACATGTTGACGTCATGGCGAACCGTGTGGGGATGAGGACTGCCGAAAGGCACAGAGGGGAGAATGGATTGTTTATTGGAATTTGTCGTGCACTCGCGGCACGCAGCAGTGCCGCTTTTGGCATTGCTGGTCGGAACGACGTTATGAACTCGATGCAAGCGTTTACTTGAAACATTGAAAAAAAAATCAAATGTGTTTTAGCGGCCCTTTAACAGTCGTGTTTGAGCGTATTCCATTCGAGGTCTCGGGATGTCATCCTAAAGAAATATTATAAACTGCACGCTACTCTGTGATGAGCTCGATGGGCAGCCACCATACCCAAATGCGGGTGTTGTGTACCCACCATGCATTCAAGCGCGTGATTCAAAGCGCAGGATGCGAAGAAGACACAACCACCACCGCCGCCACCACCCGCGGCTGCTCCGGAGCCGTCAAAGCCGGCCGGCCCTTCGGACGAAGACTGGGTGTTCAAGCCTCCAGGGATCTGGAAGGGCCACGATGTTAGCGATTTGCCCAAGAAAGTGCGGTACTTTGTCGAGGAGCAGCGCCGCCTGTGCCAGCCAGCAAACGTGTACGTCTGTGACGGCAGCATCGAGGAGCACGAGGTTATCATGGCTTTCATGGTCAAGCTTGGTCTCGCTGTAAAGCTGAAGAAGCAGGCCAACTGGTGCGTCACCCAGCCTAGTTCGCCACGCGCCCTGTTTGATCATCGTACGATGCGTGTCTGTTTCTTTCGATGTTATTTCTTTCTATCTCTTTTTTTACTCATTTCATCACTTACGCTGTTTAGGAGCAGTCATGCGGAGAAGTAATTCAGATAGATATTGGTTTCATTGGAAGCCTTGATCTGACGGGGGGGGGGGGGGCAGGCAAGTGTGGTCGAGGGTCGGTTGATGTTTTGTGTCCAATGGCAGAAAAGGTTCGTGAGAAGTGCGTGTTTGGTGTGCCATCCCTTGGCTAGGACACTTCTGAGGACGGTGTCACCTAGTGTCACCTGGTCAAAAAGGTCCTAACGCTCTGTCAGGCGCTAGTTTGTCTTTAAGTCAATTACCTAGAGAACCATGTATTTGTTTGTACAGTCGTATTAGTTTGTAAACACGCCTCACGGTTTGTGACCTCGTCGCATCCGTTGGCTTTTCGTTAGCTGAAAGAAAGTGTAAAAACAAGGCGTAGCCACACAGCGCGAAGTCTTGTTACGCGACTGCTTATAAGCTTATGCGTGAAGGTGCATGTATGTGGGCACCCATCCACAACTGGCACGTGGCACCTCTTAGTCAGCTATTAAAAAAAAGGAAGGTAGAGGACTATTCATGTGGCCGTCTAGGTGACAGCATGGTTGACCTGAACGTCCCCACAGTGTATGCGGTCAGCTGGTGGCACAATGCAGACGTAAGGTCATAAGTGCGTTCCGGTTGACGTGCAGTGATGAACGAGTGGATCACCTGCGCCACGTATAAGCGTTAAATAAATGCACTTCACGGCACCGAAATGCGCGTCTCATAATGGCAGACACAATTTGTCGCACTATAGGGCGGGGCACTTATTTGTAGCCTGCTTTATATCCTCCGCACGATTCACAAATTTCTATCTATCTATCTATCTATCTATCTATCTATCTATCTATCTATCTATCTATCTATCTATCTATCTATCTATCTATCTATCTATCTATCTATCTATCTATCTATCTATCTATCTATCTATCTATCTATCTATCCTATCTATCTATCTATCTATCTATCTATCTATCTATCTATCTATCTATCTATCTATCTATCTATCTATCTATCTATCTATCTATCTATCTATCTATCTATCTATCTATCTATTTATCTATCTATTTATCTATCTATTTATCTATCTATCTATCTATCTATTTATCTATCTATCTATCTATCTTAAAGTGGTGTATTTATCTATCTATCTTTCTATCTTAAAGTGGTGCTGACACTGAAACGGGAGTTTTCAGTTTTTCACTTGTCATCACTTTTTTTTTTATGAAGTGAAAGGCCAAGCCTTCAATAGCCTACAAAACGCACTGCAAGTGTGAGTGTACGAAAAAAATTTATTTACAGCGCGTTTTTAAAAGATAGTTTCGATTACCATCCGTACCCTTATTACGTCACAATACGTTATATGAGCTTCTATATCGTAAAGTTTCCACGGTCGTTTCGCAACGTGGCTACGTTGGTGACACACAAGCGGCCATTTTGAGGGTGTTGCTGATGCACAAGTGGCTACTCTGGAAGTTTTGATATCTTACGTCAAGACAACTAGCCATATACTGCTGCGTGAAGTCGTCAGAACCATTTTTTGATATATCCCGACGTTGAGATAGTGTTGATGTACGTTGGGTGCGCTATTGGAAAATTGATTTTATTATGAAAATAAGGTATTGTATCAGTATTTGCTGGGCTTCACAATTGATCCGAGCCGTCATTTTATACGGGAGCTTTGTATAAGAGTGTAAACTCCCCTTCGAAAACTGATGTTTCATCCTTGGCTATGGTGGCCAAAAGCAGCTGTTTAAGTGAACCATAGCTGGTCAAGATTATTTCCAGGTACCCCACTATGATGTGCCTCATACTCCGATTATAGTTTCGAAATTCAACGGATCATCTAGGTTTAATTATTACGCGCCATTAATAAATACTTCAGAACGTGCTTCAGAAAAAGGTTCGATCGTTTGCCTCGGTTGGTCGGCGTAACAGCGACTTTTTCACGTGCACGCGGCCAATCTTATGAGATTTCTTTCGATCGTATAAACATCTCGGCTCGACCAGCAGGGTATCCCGAAGGGCGTCAATGTGTTCGTAACGAACACACAGAGGCTCATTTTGGCATAAACATCTGAGGGACGTTTAGTGTCGGATAACACGTTTCCGCATCTGCGTGAAGTAAGTCTGGCCGACGTTTGTTGACGTTCTCTCGGACGGCCGAGGCTTGCGAAGGAACAGCTGTGCTTGCTCTGCAGCTATCTGGTCCGGACGGATCCTCGGGACGTGGCGCGCGTCGAAGGGCGCACGTGCATCGCGACAGCGCGCAAGGAGGACACCGTGCCCATAGCGGCGCCGGGCGTCAAGGGCATCCTAGGCAACTGGATCGCCCCTGAGGAGCTGCGAAAAATTCTCTCCGAATGCATGCCTGGATGCATGAAAGGTGCGCTGCACTGCCACATACCTGACCAAATATTAGAGCCACGACAGTAGCTGGTGAGACCACGAGATGTCGAGCCGGCTCCGTATATGTTCACTAACGCTGTCGTCTCCGTCTCACCGCAATACGTTCGTATTGTATTCCCAACTCTGTAGTACTTCAGTTTTCTAGTAGATTACATTAACTTTCTTTAGGGGAGCACAGCAAGCGCTGCTTGCTGTACGGCACATTTCACTGGTCTCATTTCATCTGAACATTTACCTGCACGGTCATTACAATCTGTAAATACGATGAGGTTAATAATAAACTGTGCCCCTAATGTAAATGTGTAACAATTAGGCCAGCGAAATGTCGTAGTTAACGAGGCCAAAGACTTTTGAGAAGACTAAATATAAGCTGAGTACCATTTCCTGATTTTCGAAGTGGCATTATAAATCCTACAGCTAAGCTAGAAAGTTCAATCGATATTATAATACCAAAAGCGCATTGAGTGAGGTACGTGTATCTAACTGTAAATGTCTACGAATCCTAGGAGTCTCTCCTACTGTTGACAGTGTTAAGAGAGCAGTGCAAATAAGCAACTGGTCCCTTGCAGCTTCTACTCCCGTTCCTCCCGATAACTATACGCCATCCACGTGAAGGGTACGAGTTCAATTGTGTTTTGAGGAAATCTTACTTGTTGTATCAAAAGAACACTCAGATTTGTTTTAATTGTCGTACCCGCTATTGGTAGTTTATTATTAATCGTCTGCATAATCTCCACAATGCATGTGCGTAACAAGATGCAGCGAAAGCCGCGAAAACATTCCATGGCGTATAGACGTTCAGTAAAAAGATAGTTTCTAATACCGCATCTTTTTCGCCGCAACGTCTTCGATATTTTCATGGTTAGAAATTAGCGGTCTGCATTTAAATCACCCACTTGTAACGCGACGTCCAAATGACTTGTATATAAATTAACAAAGCATTATTGACATGCTTAAAATCTAGTCTTTTTTGTTTGATTGCCGGAGAGTATCTTGTCCCAAACTGATTTGAAGGTAGCAGCCCAGCGATCATTTCGGTAGCGGCTACAGCTGGCGAGAGTAGATTTACGCAAAATAAATATGTCCAGTGGTAGTAAGAAGGTGTTGATTCGTTTGTTCGCACATTCCATAACACTCTGCGAACTTTTTTGATAGGCGAAGCGGTGTAGAGTACACGTCTACTCCACATTTTACGCGCTTAACGACACGCAGCATCCAGTGAGATAGCTAGCAGGCTATGACATTCGGTTTTGAAGAAAGGGAAAAGAATAACACATAAACAGGCACAGCATTCGATTAGGTTCTTGGTGGAAAAAAAATCTGGTCGGCGCTCGTGCTTGCTTCGCTGCTGATGTAAACTCGACGTCAGGCAGAACGGAATACAGCTTTATGTTGCACACCCCTGTTAAGGGGTGATCTCACCTCGGCAATGCTGGTGCTCATTACGATAAAGTGGGCGTCTCACACTCACCTCAGATAGCGGGCCTCAGACCCAAAATTTCGTCCAACGGGGGCCAGGAAAAGGAAGAAATTCTGAGTGGGGAAGGAGGGGGGGGGAGAAAATGTCTTCTAACGTTACAATTTGAAAGACCGCCATATCTTATATATGCGTATTATCTCGTGGTGGTTTGACGCAATCTTCAATAAATATAGCATTACCCATCTGCGGAATGACTAAAATTTTGAAATATAGTTCAACGGCAAAGTTTCAATGTGGTGGCCACATGGGCTTCCCCAGGAAAGCAATGCTTGAGACCAGCCTATCATGTCTGAATCTCCCCCGATGTAAGCGTTGTTAATCGCAATAAGTTGGAACACTATGCAAATGTTTATTAGTAAAGTAACAAAAGTGTATTTCTCGTGAAGTCGCGGGCCACTAGCAAAGGGTTCACGTGCCTCGTGTTTTAGACAGCTGCGATAGAGCGTCGCATATGCAGCTTGCACAGAAGAGCATCTGCCACGCGTCTTCATGAAGCATGCATGACGATTAAAAAAGAAATCTATGCTGAAGATACGGTACTGCTGTGTTCAAAGAAATTTTCACCTGTGCTGTTGGTTTGGCGCTGCGTACGGTGACCGCCACTACATTTAGCGAATGCGTTAGGAGCAAGGCGCAGCGCCCTTCCCCCTGTCGATACGCCTGCCGTAAGCCGTTGCCGACTGGCAAACAGTTGACACAAAATATTACGTCAGAATGCCACTGGTCTTTAACCTCACCGACGTTGTACCGCTCTCAATGGCAACCACACGAGATGATGAGCGGATGCCACGCGCGCTGCGGAGCGCAGGACGCACCATGTTCGTGATTCCGTTCAGCATGTGCCCCGTGGAGTCGCCGCTGTCCCGACTTGGCATTCAGGTGACGGACTCGCCGTATGTGGTGGCCAGCATGCGCACCATGACCCGCATGGGGGCCAAGGCTCTGGCTGCCACTAAAGAGAAAGAGTTCGTCAAGTGCGTTCACAGCATGGGCCGACCGTTGCCTCTCAAAGGTGCGCTATGCTCTGTATTCACCCATTAATTCGTTGTCTACACACGGATTCCACATCACGTAACAAGGGGCAAAAGCGAATTATTATTTCAGATGCATGCTCCGTTGTGCAGCATTTGAGTTTTTTTTTTCAATCATTTTTCAGTACCCTTGATCAACAACTGGCCCTGTAATCCCGAAAAGACCATCATATCGCACATACCGCACGACAACGAAATTGTTTCTTTCGGGAGCGGCTACGGTGGAAACTCTCTGCTTGCCAAAAAATGCTTCGCCCTGCGCATCGGCTGTAATCTTGGGAAACGTGAAGGCTGGCTCGCCGAGCACATGCTGGTAAGGCGCGTAGTGGCATATACGTCAGGGCGAGATGAAATTTGAACGTGCTAGCGTCAATCTTGCTCATAAGATTATTGTCTTGCATACTCCGGTAGATTATACGCTGACAAGTGTCTACAATGAGTTTATGAGGCGATGTGCACACGACAGATTACGACATATATATGGGATGACCCAATGCTATTATTTTAAAACTTTCCCGCTGCACGTGTTTACATAGTCAGTCGCGCTTAATCCACAGACTAAAATGCGCAAAGTTTAGCATCGTAGTATTACGAAAACGCCGTGTCAAGCATTCCTGCCGCTTGTGTTGCCCGCGTTAAAGCTAGCTTTGCCGCAGGATAGCTGAGTGTGCGGCAGGGCAAACCTATAGGATCACGACAGCGCAGAACGGTGGCGCTCGCAGATCCTGGCCTTGACAGCGCCTTCCGGTGCCAAGTTCTACGTCGTGGGTGCCTTTCCGAGTGCTTGTGGCAAAACCAACCTGGCCATGATCACGCCCACGCTGCCGGGATACCGTGCCGAGTGCGTCGGCGACGACATCGCCTGGCTCTACTTTGACGAGAACGGCGTCATGCGCGCCGTGAACCCTGAAAACGGCTTCTTCGGCGTCTGCCCGGGTGAGGGGCATGAAACGAACGCAGTGTATGCTTGTTGCCGGCAGGTGCAGCTATCGCAGTGTTGAAAACGTTTGGCACATATCAACCGCAAGGGCAGCACTAGATAATGGCGGGTATTAGATAGAAAGCCTCGCTGTTTTTGTTCTTTTTAAAAGAATATAAGACCTGCAGCAATGCTAAGCCTTCATAGGCTCAGGGATGGCTATGTAGGTGCTGACAGTTAAAAAAGAAAGACTTAAAATTAAGGGAGAAGTTTACACTAACCGAGTAAAGCTTAAAAAACAGCGAAGCTGGGTGCTAGGTATTTTCTTGGCGTACACAAAGTAGAGTCGAACCACAGCTTGTCACAGACCTTGCAAGAGCGCCCAAACTTCAGCGCCAGCCCTAACGCGCAAAGCAGGCTGCGGCACTCCCGGCAGAAGCGTGGGCCTTTCGTAGCTAGCACCGCGGCTCGCGCGGCTGGCAAACTCGGCGCGGTGTCTGCGCGGATGGTCTCCGTTGGTGGGCGTGGCTGATATAAGCTACTGCTTGGAGTCTTTTTCGCGGACACCCAACATACCACCTCGTACTTTAAGAGCTTTGCAGTTGAAAACAAAATACCCAGGAGAGAGAGAGAGAGAGAGAGAGAGAGAGAGAGAGAGAGAGCGTTTAGTTTAGTTTAGCAGGCTGCCAGACGTTTAGATCGCAATCCATTCAGTGCCCATTTTACAGATGTTGGTTCATATTCAATGTATCTGTATCTCCATCCGAATATATTGCAAATCGTTGTTGTTCCACTCTGTTCCTGGTAGCCACCGACGAGTGGCAGGACCAGGGCATAATCTCATCGCTTAAAGACAGTTGTGCGGCTGGTGCTGACGATGTAAATTTGAAATGGCTGTAAAGCCGTTAGCGATGTAAGCATGCCTCTAGTACATATCTGTAATCTAAATCTTTTGAACGGCGTGTTCCAGGATAAAATGAAGCTGGCCCGTGTGACCGTTATTCATATATGTGGAGCAGTTAACTATGAATAACTGCAGACCGATCTCCGTACCATCAGTTTTTGCGAAAATTGCCGAATATGTTATAAACAAAAGATTGAGTGGTTTTAAACACAAAAGCATAAAAACATGTATGCACAAAAGCAATATGGTTTCTGCAAGAATATTTAGAAACAGCTTTACTTGAAATAAACAAAACAACAAATTCTTGACAGCATTCAAAACCGAATGCTAACCCTTGGTTTATTTCTTAATTTTAGAAAAGCCTTCAATTGCGTGCGACACAACTTTCTTTTCTAAAAACTACTCAATATGGTATTTGTGGCGTCGCTTTTTACTTAATAAAACGTTATCTAATGGCAAGAACACAGTACAATATGATAAATGGCGCTACCTCTGAAATCTATTCTAATTAATTTGGCGTACCCAAAGGCTCTGTTTTAGGACCTGTACTCTTTTTGTTGTATATAAATGATATTGTAGAGGTAACGTCACAGGGCTACTCTAACATTATACTATGTGCCCATGACCCTAACGTGTTCTTCTCAGGAAGGGAACTGCACATTATTTTTGAACAAGCCAACACCTGGCTACAAAGATTGGATATGTGGCTTAATGCAAATAAACTTCAATCAAAGGTAAGTAAAACAAAGTACTTGCTCCTTAAATAAAAAGGAACGAACGCAGCTTCTCATCGTAAGCTGCGATTTCAAAAAGTGAATATTCAACTATCAAGCACAGCGAAAGTTCTGGGAGTTATATTCCACGAGAATATGTCCTCGTCCTTACATATAGATTATCTCAAAAGTAGTATTGCCCGCGCTGTAGGTGCGTTGAACAGGCTGCGCTATTTGCTACCAGCAAGAGTGCAGAACCATATTTATAGCGCTATAATACATTCCCGTTTAGCATACAGTCGTATAATTTGGCCGACTACTACACGCTGCAATTTAGGATCACTTCAAATACTTCAGAACTGTACATGCAATAGAAAACTTAGAACGTATGGTAAACACCAAAACGTACTATCCTAAAAATTAAATATTAAAGACGTCCAAATTGCATACATATAAGCAATTTCTGGAAATTGTGCGGTGATTTCAGTCTGACAAACATTCCTTCCAGAGTAAACACATGCAGCGTAAAAACGACAGGCTATAACTTGAGAAATATTTTTGTATTTAAACCACATAGTATAATAAATTACTGGGAATAAAAATTCGCTGTTGAAATTGCTAACCTCCTCAATGACTATGCCTTAACCACAGATATGCTCACTTCTGGAATTAGGAAGCAAGCATTAAAAAAAAACAATAAAAGAATCATGTTCAGAGAATTAACCTAAATTAACCAATCATTATGTTTACGCATTAATGTTATGTGTTATTTTGTTTTTTTCTTTCTTTTTTTTCTCCCCGCATGTGGTTCGTGAGCCCTACTGGTTGTTCCTATAGTTTCCTTCCATTCATTTTTTTCTTTTTGTGCTCGAAAGTTGTAAGTAAATTTTTTTGTTATATTTGTGCTTCTGCGTCTTTTAATGTGCTAGAAGCAAGTCAAACAGTATAACACTTATATTTTTGTTTCTTTTCGTTTACTGTATGTATTTTGATGAATTGCACCTCGTATCTATGCAAACAAGTGTAGAATTTAATTCTCATGTGTGCATTTATACTCGTAAATGTATTTGTGCTGCTGCTATTTGGGTGGCACGACCCCGTCAGACAATGTTATCCTTTACTAATAAGAAAAGAAAGAAACGTTGAATCGTCTTCTCATTATTATTATTATTATTATTATTGTTGTTGTTGTTTTCAAATCGCACGTGGCCCTGACTGACTCACCATGGTCTCTGAGTCGCCCCGTAAGGCTGGACAGCGTCGCCAGGGCATCATTGGTGTCTTGTTTGCTCGGCTCTTATAGTGAGCTACTGACTCCCGCAGGGACCTCGTGGAAGACAAATCCGAACGCCATGATGACCATACAGACCAACACCATCTTCACGAACGTCGCCGAGACGAGCGATGGTGGCGTCTGGTGGGAGGGCCTCAACATGCCGCCACCCGATGTGAGCATCAAGTCGTGGAAAGGCGAGCCCAACTGGAAGCCCGAAGAAAAGTCCAAAACAGCCGCGCATCCCAACGCGCGCTTCTGCACTCCGGCTGGACAGTGTCCAATCATCGATCCGTCCTGGGAGGACCCCAAAGGCGTGCCCATCTCCGCCATAATCTTCGGAGGCCGCAGGCCAGAAGGTGCATTCTTCTACCATGCTTTCGCGATCACCGCAGCAGCACCTGACGAGCGAACTTAAATAACACCCGCCACGGTGGTCCCGCGACCTGTTGACCCGCAGGTCGCGGGACCGAATCTCGAACGTGGTGGCCGCATTTTCGATGGAGCCGAAAATGCTTGAGGGCAGTATGCTTTGAATAAGAAGCGCGCCAAAGAAGCTCAGATGTTCGAAATTTTCGGCGCCCTCCGCTGTGGCGTCTCTCATAATGCATATCGTGGTTTTGAGACGTTAAAAGGTCACTCACCACCCCGCGTTTAAAGACGATGGGGTGATTTTCTCCTCTCCTTCATACACACGATGCATCCTCCACGCCCCTTAGTTCAGGAATGCACGTGAAAGATGTCAGCACTAAGCACTAGAGCCTATGAGCATTTCACGCTTCTCAACTGCACGCCGTTTTCGCCGCTTGCGCAGTTGTAAACACAAAAAGTGATTTTTGATCGGTTGATTATTCACAATATTCATGTGAGACAAAGAAGAACGGATGGGCGGCTGCATGGAAATGCAGTGCAGGAGACAAATCACATGTTTTGCGTATATCGACGATTCGAGAGCCCAGTAGACGTGGCGGGAACTACTGTCTACGTCACAGTAGTGCGCCAAGAAGGACGAGAAATATCAGAAAAGAATATTGCGCTCTTTTTTGTATTTTGGGAGCCTGGTGAGTCGCCCTTTAAACACCAAGAATTATTGTTAACCGAAGAAAAACCTTCTTGGCGCTTCATTCTGCGTTTCTGTTCGTGAGATTGGGCGCTTGTCGTCATTGCGCGCAATACACTCCGCGTTATCAATAGTCTTGTTCGAAGATTGTCATCACAGATGATGCAAAGAGATAGATATGTGGGGTTTAACGTCCCAGATCCACCTTATGATTATGAAAGACGCCATAGTGGAGAGCTCGGGACGTTTTGACCACCTGGGGTTATTTAACGTGCACCCAAATCTGAGCACACGGGCCTACAACATTTCCGCCTCCGTCGGAAATGCAGCCGCCGCAGCCGGGATTCAATCCCATGACCTGCGGGTCAGCAGCCGAGTACTTTAGCCACGAGACCACCACGGCGGGGCATGATGCAAAGAGAGCTGGAAAATAAATTGTCTGCTACAGAACCGGGACAAGACGCTTGCACTGCCCTTGGAAAAAATGGGACCTCTAATTAGCCGACGCAACCAGTTTAGCATATATAGTAATGAATTGTGAACGCATTTACACTGTGCATCTACTACTTCATTGGAATTTATTTTTTTATTTGTTTACGTGAGGTACCGTATGGCTGAATTAGCTGAAATACTAGTATAACCTTTTTCAGGAGTTCCCCTGGTGTTCGAAGCCTTCAACTGGACCCACGGCGTTTTCCTTGGTGCGTGCATGCGGTCAGAAACTACGGCAGCAGCAGAGCACAAAGGTATGATACCGTATGATAGCACTCGATATATAGTCGTGCGATTAGAACGCTCCGTGCTCGACCGATGGTCAGGCGAAACCAGTTGCTGTCTCTGCAGTTCACTCTCGCTTTTCTGTGCGAAGCTGGACGAAGTTTACCACGATAATAAAATTAACAGCGCCAACTTCCTGCATTATTCAAACAGTTATGAGCTTCTCGGACACAACGCTTCCAAGGTTCTCACTGCCCGTGTACGTGGATAAACCGAAAAATTCCATTGATGAGCTTGCATAATTTTATTACATGATGCATAACAAGCAGTGCATAATGTGGCAATGAACCTGCTGGATATGGTTAGAACTGTATCGTATATTACATTGGGAATGCAAGGACATGCCATGACCCACCGGAACTTTAGCCTTGGAATGAACTCATTCTAATTTCATCGTTGATAGGTCCAGTCAGTGTTATGAAGTCATTGCCATGTGCAGTCATTTGTTGCAAAAGAAATGCAGACGGAGCAACTTGATGTTGTGTATGCGCGTTTACACACACACACACACACACACACACACACACACACACACACACACACACACACACACACACACACACACACACACACACACGCACACGCGCACACGCACGCACGCACGCACGCACGCACACACGCACACACACACACACACACACACACACACACACACACACACACACACACACACACACACACACACACACACACACACACACACACGCACGCACACACGCACGCACGCACAATGTTTGTAGCTTACAAAGCATATATGATGTTTTCCGAACACAACGTGATTTTATTACCTCTCAGAACGTTCTTAATCTTCCTTACTTTGAAGTAATTTCGTACGCTTTTTCCGAGCTATCCGGTATGCAACGTCGACTGATAAGACGATCCGTTTACACGGTCTTGAGTATCTTATCTGCCTGCGTTTTTTCCAGGCAAAATCATCATGAACGACCCGTTCGGTATGCGACCTTTCTTCGGGTACAACTTTGGCGACTATCTGGCCCATTGGTTGAGTTTCGCCAAAAACGGCAACCAACTTCCCCGGATCTACCACGTCAATTGGTTCCGCAAAGGCCCTGACGGCAAGTTCCTGTGGCCAGGTTTTGGCGAGAACTCCCGCGTCCTTGACTGGATTCTCCGCCGCGTCGACGGTGAAGTCAACATAGCCAAGGCACGTCCAACAGTCTCTACCAAACAAGATGTGCTCATCATTTAACAGACGAGACCTCTCTCCGAATATATATATATATATATATATATATATATATATATATATATATATATATATATATATATATATATATATATATATATATATAATGAGATCTAGCAGGCAATAATGCCAAGGAAAGTATAAAGGATGTTCTCAGACCGGAGAGCGTCGAACGCGTTATTCGAAGGTAACAGGTTTGGTTCATGCCCACGGCAAGTTATCTTTTCACCCACTTTTCTTTCTTCACATTTACATTACAATTAGGTCTAATAACTTCCCCCTAGTTTCCTTGGCATTATTGACTGTTAGATCTCAATATATATATATATATATATATATATATATATATATATATATATATATATATATATATATATATATATATATATATATATATATATATATATATATATATATATATATATATATATATATATATATATTTTGAAACGGGGTGTTGTTGAACCAGCAGTAGTTGACTCGATGAACGAAAGCTTTATTTAGCGCAAGGGCTAACTGAACGGAAGCCGGCGATCACAGCAAGTCTTCTTCCTTTTCTATACTCGAGCTCCATGCCCACTGCCCCCGTTACAATCACCCCCGGGCGATGAGGGAGCCATCCTGGCGACCTAAGGATAGGTGTACACAGAAGGGTCATGGTATGGCTTGAGCCGAGAGATGTGTACGATTTCTTGTCCCCGACGGCGCTTGTCCGGGGATGCATCCAGCGGCTCGACCAGGTAGTTGACAGGGGATGTTTGGCGTACAACTCGATAAGGGCCATGGTACCTGGACGAAAGCTTGTGGGAGAGTCCTGGAGGAGTAGAAGGAATCAATAACCACACCAGTGAGTTCGGAGCAAAGCTCATAGGCGTGGTTGACGCGTCGTGGCGATGTTTTTGACGCGTCTGGTCATGTGACGTGAACGCACGAGCAAGCTTCCGACATTCTTCAGCGTGTGCTGCTGCTCGAGAAACGGTAGTCATCTCTGAAGGGTCCGATCGATAAGAAAGAATAGTATCCATTGTTGATGATGGCTCGCGTCCATAAAGAAGAAAGAAAGGCGAAAATCCAGTGGTGGTTTGCGTTGCAGTGTTGTAAGCATATGTCACAAAAGGCAGTGTGCTATCCCAATTTGACTGGTCGGATGAAGCGAACTTGGCCAGCATATCCCCAAGTGTACGATTAAAACGCTCTGTCATCCCATTAGTTTGCGGATGATAGGCTGTGGTAGTGCGGTGTATGATGCGACACTCGCTTAACAACGCTTTGATGGCATCGGAGAGAAAAACGCGGCCATGGTCGCTTAGCCACTCTCGAGGTGCTCCATGCCTTAAAACCAGGTTTTGCAGTATAAAACATGCAACGTCTTTTGCGGTAGCAGAAGGTAACGCAGCTGTTTCAGCGCACCGCGTTAGGTGGTCGATAGCGACAATGACCCAGCGGTTGCTACTCGAAGTATAGGGAAGCGGACCGTAAAGGTCGATTCCGACCCAATCGAAAGCTCGTGCTGGACATGGCAACGGCTGCAAGGGACCTGTGGCATGCTGAGTGGGCATTTTGCGTCGCTGGCATGTAAGGCAAGACCTTACGTAACGGCGAACGAAACGGTACATACCGCGCCAGTAGTACCGCAGCTGCAAGCGAGTGTATTTTTTAACACACCAGCGTGGCCACATTGCGGATCATCGTGGAACGCGGCACAGATGTCAGAGCGCAGATGTCGGGGAATGACGAGCAACCACTTACGGCCGATCGAGCTGTAGTTTCGGCGGTAAAGCAGGTTATCCCGAATAGCGAAGTGTCCTGCTTGACGGCGAAGCGTCCTGGAAAGTGGAGCGGGCGTCCGGTTTGAGAGAAAGTCCAAAAGAGAAGAAATCTAAGCATCTTTGCGTTGCTCGGAAGGCATGTCCGAAATGCTGATGGCCAAGGCAGCACTGGTGGAGATAGGCAAGCCGACGGGCTCTGAAGCCAATGGCGAACGTGACAGGGCATCGGCGTCGGAATGCTTCCGTCCAGAACGGTAGATAACACGGATATCGAACTCCTGTAACCGCAATGCCCAACGAGCGAGCCGACCATTAGGATCTTTTAGTGAAGATAACCAGCAAAGCGCATGGTGGTATGTTACAACATCAAACGGACGTCCATATAAATAAGGCTGAAATATTCCGATTGCCCAAATAATGGCAAGGCACTCCTTTTCAGTTACACTGTAATTCTTCTCGGCTTTACTGAGGGTGCGGCTGGCATAGGCAACGACGTACTCGTCAAAGCCATCCTTGCGTTGGGCCAGTATGGCCCCTAGCCCGACACCACTAGCGTCTGTATGAAGCTCCGCTGGAGCAGACGGATCGAAATGTCGGAGTATGGGAGGCGTGGTGAGGAGTCGTCGGAGTTCCTGAAATGAATCATCACACGCCTACGACCACGCTGACAAATCAGAACTTCCGGCAAGAAGATTCGTCAAGGGTGCTATAATGGAGGCGAAATTGCGGACGTAGCGCCGGAAGTAAGAACATAGGCCGATGAAGCTTCAAAGCTCTTTGATGGTGGTTGGCTTTAGGAACGCCGCGACTGCATTAAGTTTCGCAGGGTCCGGGAGAATGCCGTCCTTAGAAACTACATGGCCGAGAATTACAAGCTTGCGAGCGCTGAAGTGGCATTTCTTCAAGTTAAGTTGAAGTCACGCCGTGGAAAGGCACGTAAGAACTTGCTCGAGACGGCTGAGGTGGGTCGCAAAGTCGCTTGAAAATACCACAATGTCGTCCAAATAACAGAGGCACGTTTTCCATTTCAGACCTCGCAAGATGGTATCCATCATTCTTTCGAAAGTGGCAGGCGCATTGCAGAGGCAAAAGGGCATCACGGTGAATTCATATAGTCCATCCGGTGTTACAAAGGCTGTCTTCGGGCGGTCACCCTCTGCCATGGGCACCTGCCAGTAGCCGGAGCGTAAATCTAACGAAAAAAAGAACTCTGCACCTTGTAGGCAGTCCAGAGCATCATCGATGCGCGGCAGAGGGTATACGTCTTTGCGCGTTATCTTGTTGAGTCGGCGGTAGTCAATGCAAAACTGGATGGATCCGTCTTTTTTCTTGACGAGAACAACCGGTGAAGCCCAGGGACTGTTGGAGGGCTTGATGATGCCACGTTTCAACATGTCGTCCACTTGTTCGTTGATGACACGGCGTTCAGCAGATGACACACGGTACGGACGCTGTCTTAGCGGGGCTCGTTGACCGGTGTCAATACGGTGAACGACCGCAGAGGTTCGGCCTAAGCCTGACTGGTCACGATCGAATGAAGAGCGAAAGCGGAGTAGAAGATTTATAATCTCTTCGCGCTGAGTTGGTGCGAGCTCAGAGTTGATGGCATCCAAGAATACGTCGACAACTTCATTAGGCGTGTTGGTAGGAGTGACAGCACAAATTGGGAGCGAAACCGTAGAATCGCGTATAGTAGCCGGAAGAATGCACTTGTAAGGTTCGTAGCTTCCCAGGCATTCTCCACGTAGTAGGGATGACGGGCTGTCCGAGGGATTGCACACATAAATGGCAGCGTGACCGTTGCGAAAAACGACGACGGCAAACGGAAGCATGATATTTCGACGGCACGCAGATGGGACCGATGGCATAAACAACACAGGCGATTTTGGAGGGGAGGCACACGACACCGAGACAACAACAGCTGAGAAAGGCGCAATGTCAACGTCAGAAGCAGCAAACACTCTACACGAAGCGCCATCGTCGGGGTCACAGCACGGCACAGATAATGCGAGTTCGGAACGAGCACAGTCGACCAAAGCAGAATTTGACGAAAGAAAGTCCCATCCAAGGATAACGTCATGCGACGAACGGAATAAAACTACAAATGTGACGACGTACATCGCACCTTGAATGACGACTCGTGCAGCGCACAAAGCTGAACGCTGAATATGATGGGACGTAGCTGTCTGCAAAGATAGGTCGGTAAGTTGCGTGGTCCCTTTCTTCAAGTTTCGGCACAGTTTCTCGCTAATTACAGATACGGCAGCTCCAGTGTCAACAAGTCCGTGCACCTTAATGCCATCAATATAGAGTTCGATTTCGTTCGGGGGACCGCAGTTAGGTCTTGAAATTTTCGCTGCCAACGCAGTTATTGCCTCCGGAACTGCGCCTGTCAGTTTTTTCCTCGCGGTGGGCTGTTGTGACGTAACATTGGAGAAATAGATCTGCGACGAGGAGAAGGCGAACGGCTTGAGCCGGATGGGCGGCGACCGGTACGTACGTCTAGAGGTGGATCGGCAGGCACGGGATATCGCGGCTTAGTGGGCATGTAGTGTGAGGCCCCTGCAATGTCATGAGAAGGGAAGCTGCGACGGCGGCAGTGACGAGCTATGTGGCCTGGGATGCCACATGAAAAACATATTGGCCGATTACACGGAGTGCGCCATCGGCTGACGGTAGGGGCACTTGTCGCTGAATAAGGTACCGGAAACGGTCGTGCAGGCGGCGGCTTTATATAAACGTTCCGAGTTGTTTCGTATACAGCCGGAGACGGGACAGTCAACGGGCGGGCAAGTGGCGTCGACGAATAAACGTGGCGAGTTGCTTCGTAGATAGCCGGAGACGATGGAGCGCGTGGCCGAGCAACAGCGGCTGCATATGTTAGTGGTGTGGCAACAGATGGTGGAGCCTGAGCTGGCGGCAATGCTTCGGCAACTTGCGATTCAATGACCTGGCGAAGCGAAGGCGATAAGGGTGCCATCGGCTCGCTAGTTCTGGTGATTATAGATAGCTGCCGGGCGACCTCCTCGCGTATGAATCGCTTTATGAGTGGCATTAAAGCAGAGTGGTCGGCAGTGTCATGGCGATAGTCGAGGGATGAGAGGTCCGCGGTGTCTTGAGCAGCGCAACGTGTGGAAGCACGTTGCCTACGCAGCTGAGCTCATCATAACTTTGGCAGAGCTGAATCACCTCGGCGACCGTCTGGGGACACTTCGCAGCAAGCATGTGGAATGCACCGTCGTCGATTCCTTTCATGATGTTTTTTATCTTGCCTGCCTCATCCAGAGTCGGGTTGACGAGCTGGCAGAGGAAGAGCACATCTTCGATGTAGCTCGTGAAAGTCTCATCTGTTCTCTGTACTCTGCCACGCAAGCGCTGTTCAGCACGAAGGTGGTGGACAGCAGGACGTCCAAAGACTTCCGAGAGGGTTTTTGCCAATTCAGACCAGGTACTGAAATCACTTTGATGATTCCTGTACCATAGTTTCACCACGTCGGTCAGGTAAAAACTCACATTTGTGAGCTTATCGGCTGCGTTCCATTTATTGTACGCGCTCACCAGTTCATACTCGGCAATCCAGTTGTCCACATCTTGGTCCTCTGTGCCACCAAATATAGGGGGGTCGCGCTGCCAGAGAGCGCCAGCGCAGAAGACAGGTGGGTGAGAGAGCTGGAGTGGCGGCCTGAGATGGTCCCGGATCAGTCATTGCAGAAGGTGGTTGGAGTGTGCGGCTGCGAAGTTCCAGGGTGAGGAGCAGATGTACCCCGCACCTCCACCACTTGAAACGGGGTGTTGAACCAGCAGGAGTTGACTCGGCGAACGAAAGCTTTATTGAGCGCAAGGGCTAACTGAACGCAGGCGTGCGATCACAGCAAGTCTTCTTCCTTTTCTATACTCGAGCTCCATGCCCACTGCCCTCTTTACAATATATATATATATATATATATATATATATATATATGTGTGTGTGTGTGTGTGTGTGTGTGTGTGTGTGTGTGTGTGTGTGTGTGTGTGTGTGTGTGTGTGTGTGTGTGTGTGTGTGTGAGGGAGAGAGAGAGAAAGAGAAGTATATCACAACACAAATGTTAGACATATTGAACACAGAGATATAGCGGTGCTCTTTTGCAGCGTTTTTTCCGACAATGAATGTTTCCGGTTCCCGTTTAACGTGTTCACAAATAAGCCTCTTCCGTTATCTGTCCTTGAGAATCCCAGACTGCCCGAGCCGGCGCCATCGGCTGATGGCGTTGTCTACGTGGTTCCTCTGGCAGTGTGGGTTCTCAGGGACGGATATTACTGATGTTGGTATCCCTTATATGTATGCGAAATTTGTGAGTGCTAATCTGGTCACGACGCCCGTCAAACGAAGAACATATTTGAGGGATCCTTCAGCCTCGCCTTTAAGAGTTGAACGCGATATCCTGTCACTAGTGCGTACCACGTAGCGCACAGTCCTTACTATTGTTACTAGAGAAGTTTAAATTGTGGATTACTGCAATGCAACTGATAAAATTGAAAGTGGTTGGTGTCAGTAAAGCATATGACTGCATGCTGTGTAATGGGTAGCATGCTTCAAACCACGCGATAGAATGCGCGTGAATTGTTTTCGAACTTGCCATGCACCTCCTACGTGGTCTTAAGCCTCAACGTGTGCGCTTTTCGTAATGGGTGGCTGGGTTTAAATTACGAGTTCTTTTCACGCCCGATGGTATACATACGCTTGTACCACGCAACGCGCGTTCACTTCAATGATCGCTATGATGCCATTTGTTTTGTAGATTGTCTTGTGGGGATGGTAACAGTACACTTAATAAACAAAAATATAATTACAATCATCAACAACGACCAATATGCTTACTACTCCGATTCAGCCTGCCTTGCGTGCGCTGATTATATTACAGATACAAGTATCATCATTTCAGTGCCCTTCAGTGCCCCATTATTTTATATATGATTGCAGTTGCAGAATTCCCGCGTGTCGTATAATATCATTACCGAAATGTTCTAAATGATGATGACAACGATTTTAACGGTGACGGTGGCCTGTTACAGCATTTGAAAGTATGTTCGTCGATGACTTCGTCCTCAGGTTTATAACTCTATGCGGTGTTTCTGTAGAACACTGGGGATCTAGAAAAAAAAAACATTTTGAAATAACATAGTTGCTCCGGGCATATATTCCGTCAGCATTGGTGGCACAGAGATCAAGTATGATACAAAGTAACAAGTCGCTGATTCCTAAGCAGTGTTGGTATTTCATTTGCACGGGCCCAGCGGGCTTATAGTTATCGTGAAGTTAGACGTAACTCTCCGTGAAATACGCATCAGTTTTCGTATCGGGAGACGTGCGATTGCATGTGTATCTGTGGAACGACGAGTTCTCGGGCTGAACGCGTGAAGGCTGAATGAAGTGCGCGTTTGGTGGCATTCCTGGCTGGCGAAGAGGAGCCACCTGTAGCAATGAGCAGTCTATATGGCGATCACTTTGGTGATCGCGGATGAGCTGCAAGACAGGCTAAAGGAACCTCGAGATGAGCCCACGCTTCTACTTTCAGGAGACCTTTCTGGGTTACGTCCCGACCGACGATGCGCTGGACCTGACCGGCCTGACCGAGCCGATCAACATGGCCGAGCTGATGCGCGTGGACAAAGAGTTTTGGCTCAAGGAATGCCGCGACATCAAGACTTTCTTCGACGAACAAGTGGGGCGCTCGCTGCCGCAGCCGATCGCTGATCAGCTGACCGAGCTCAAGGAGCGCATCATGAAGACAGAATGAAGAGTGGGCTGCACGCCCCGTGTGACCCAGACGAGCCGACATACGGCGATGAATCGTCTATTAAAGGGCGTTGCAGTTGAGCGGTCACGTTCTCTTACGGGATTCCGCATGTTTGTTCATTGACACTCACTTTCGTGCCAGACGAAAATGGCAGATAGCGCGGATTTACCGCGATCGTGCTGTCTGATTATCAGTACTTGTTTTCTGCGCGCTGTTAATTCAGTTATGCTGAGACAAAACGCGTTGCGCTCGTGATTTTGTTGCCCAAAGATGCTTGCCAAGAAAAGTTGCAACGACCCTGTTTTAGGAAGTCAATTTAGGAAGTCAAGCCGGAGACAAGATGAGAATATCTTCTTTTGATTGGGCGAAACTCCGCTTTGTTGAATGGTATGCATTCCATACCGCTTCGGCATCTTCGTTTACAAGCATGAGCATATACCCTCACCCGCTCCTAAAGTTATTGATTCTTCCAAGATGTGTGTTTCATGTACATAATGCCACAATAGAAGGTCCAGAAGTACTATACGGGATCAATACTGTTTGTGTTTTTCCCTTTTTTCCCTTTTCTGTTTCCCCCCCTTCAGCTGCTTTCCATTCTCTGCAACCTGGAGCTCTACAACACTACCTACGTCGGGATCAAGCCGCCATCGCATAGCCCGCCTATATAATTCTCAAGATGTTAAACATGAAAGTGTGTCATGGCGGGGTCCACCATGGCTAAATTAAGGCGTTTCCGTCACAGATATGACGTTGTAAAAATATATTGAAAGAGGGTAAAGGGAAACTTGAAGGAAAAGTTGTCGCCGGGAGTCGAACCTATGACCTCTTGCTTCTTAGCGTGAGGCGCGAGCGGCTGGCCGTTCTTCGCGTGACATTACAATTTGTTGCTTTGGCCTTCATCACTTCGATCTAATGGCAAAACAATAAACAATAAATGCTGAACCACCTCGATGAAGACGCGATTCGCTTTCTTGGTATACTAAGTCATATGACATGTGTTACCCATGTTTGTTTTTCTTTTTGGTGTCGAGTAAATTTGGTGACAATGTTTCTGTATATTTAAGAACTGTAAACATGACCAAGACTTGTTGACTGTACGAACTGCGAGTATATTTAATAACTTCGGACGCTGATTTGTTCACCAAGACTTGCATATCTCTCTATGTTTTTAATTATAAACCATTTTGTATCTGTACTCTTATATCTCATGGCCTTATCAGAGTCGCTACACTTGAAATAGGGGCGTCCAATCAACCACGTTTACTTTGTTTCCATATTGTCGGTTTGTTTCAAGAAATGCGTCCGAAAACCCTCAAAAACCAGGGAAATGGGACATTTGCTCGCTATCTTTATTGAATTTCTTGTGATATTGTTGCAGACATGTTAAGGTGAGTAGAGAAGTCAGTTATAGTTGTATAATATGTATGTAGTCGATTAATTAATTAATCTTTTAAGTTACGCGCAAAAACGTGCGTACGGTGCTCAATGTCTGGACTGGAATACGGGTGTTCGTTGTTGTCGGGGACCAAGGTACGCCGCGTAGCTGGTATACGTGTAGTCTAAAACGTCCGGAACCGTTGAAGAGTCATTGAAGAATCAAGTGACAACTCCTTGGTGCCCATGTTTTTTTGTTTGTTTTTTTCAGCCGCTGTGCGCCTTTTCAGTTGCTGTAGTCGGTATTTGCGCATGCGCTTATTCACGTGTGGGAGTGATCGTTTCTATTTCCTTCCTGTCACACCCAGATACCACTTTGAACCCCAAAAATGCTATTCAGGCAATGATTTCGGCTGGAAATGTTGAGACTCTAGGAACCATTAACGCTGCCCCTCACGATGCTACTTAGTGGATGTGCGAACAATGCCCAACTGATCGAGCCTCACGTTACACGTGCGGTCTGTCTGACATTGGCGCTGAACGCAGGGTTCTTGACTTGCAGCATGTTGAGCGACCGACTACGCAATGATGCGACATGAAATACTGAAGACAAGAACTGTGCGAAAGCGCCCTCCGTCGTTCATTCTTATCCTCGCATTTTAAAAGGAGCTCTCACCGACGATTTAATCGTATACGGATTTCCACGCGTCACTGTACACACAACATTAGAACGTAGATGTTGCCTCCTTGCACAGTTCGTAATCTCCTAAATGAAGCTAGCACGTGCGCAGTAAATTAGCAGCCCCTTAACATATACTATGCCACCTGCGTTGATGAACGACGTGTAAACATTGCCCGAAACACGCATATCTCACGGTCTTACTGTCGGCGTTCGAATACGCCGGGCGGAAGCGTTACAGCGACCTTACTCGGGTAGTCAGTCAGTCGGACCTCGAAAAGCGGTGCTGTTAATTGTTTCCCAACACCCGCAGGGCGGGCGTCTCCGTACTTCACCCACATAACACGCGTGGTTCCCGCGGCGCGTGCCAAAAATACATCGCCGCGAGTCGGCCGTGCCCGCGTTCCGGTTTGCAGTGCGGCCGTCGCCGGCTGTTGTGTCTGCCGCTGTGTTGCGCTGCGAGGAGACAAGCGTGCAATATAGAAGCCATGGTCGACATCAGCAGCCCTTTTCTCAACCTCCAGAAGGGGACGTCCGTCCTTCTGAACGTGAGTGAACGCGCCAGGTCGACAGAGCGAGTCGCCACTGCATGCGTGAGGGTTCGACCACCTCGAGCGGGGTGGTCACTCCGTTACCGTGAGAAAAATAGGTTTTGCTTCTGCGCAGGTCCTGAGCCGTGCTGATACTAACGGTGAGTGCTTTTGTGATCTACAAAACAGCGGGCAACGTGAACGGCGAGTTCAATCGCTGTCACCTCGCTTGGTAGGTTATATACGATAACATATATTCGCGCATTATGGGCTGCCTTGGGCATATACAGTCGACTCGTACACGTTCGACGATGTGGAATAAGCATCGTCGCACTCGACGTACCGTTTGACCACGCGTTCACATTACCTGAACGACAGAAAATTGAGGACAGAGAAGAAATCAATACAGACGCCAGCGTTTGTGTTTCTTGATCTCTCCTCCTGTACCATGTCTGCGTCTCTACATTATTTTATCATGAAACATATTACCTGCAAATACGCTGATGAAGGCAGACCAAATGTCATGCGACTGCGTTCTGAGACACTCAGTTTGCGCATGTGGCACAAGGCTTTGCAAACCCTATATATGACCCTTTCAAGTCTCTTTCATCGTTTAGCCTCCAAAACAATAGGAGCGCCTGCCCTATATGCGAGCGTGGTGACCCATGAATGTGATTTTGCGCTCCAGTACTAAGCGCTGCCAAGTTCAGAACGTACGCACCCTAAACTACTGTAATCCTTACTGTATAGGTGCACGAAATAACATTTATCCTTTATGGCGTTTAGATTAAGCATTGTATCCAACGTGTATTCTATTCCATGTAGCTGTGCGCTGTCTCAGTTGTCGGTCAGGGTTATACGATTTGACTGTAAAGACGTCAGCGCGCACGTTGTGTTGGATTACTGTTCTCATACTTTTCACGGCCGCCTGGAGTCCTCCCAACCCTGCCTTCTTTTCTCCCTGTTTCGATAGGAGACGGCGTTCTCGCGAAAGAGGAATTCCTCAATTTCTTCTGGGACGCCGTACTAACGGAAGATGAACTCTGTGAACTTTTCGAAGAAGTCAATATTCACAGAACCGGGTGAGCAAAACCAATAGTCTCTTTAAGCAACATCTCGGAGGGCGCAGACGAAAGCCTATGCTAACACGAGAGAGTCTTGTTAAATTGAATTGCTTTTTAACGTTCTCAGCAAACTGCGTTGTCACCTATCCCCCCCCCCCCCCCAACACATGCACGCTTTTTGAACCTCACGTGTTGGTGCACAACCTGAGAGATCGACAGTGGAATTAGTTGGGTTGGTTGGTTCTACATATCGACTATTCACGTAGATGCACTTTGAAGTTACGAACAGAGAGTTCCGTCTCTTGTTTGTTGGTGTCTTCAAAGCGCATCCACATCTACGCTAAGGGATCGATCGGCCCGCCTTTGAGCAAGCGACGCCGGGACAACAGTGATGACGCCAAGAAGACGTTACAAAATCTGGTGCTTTGTGACATCACTGGGGTTTATTGAATATTCGAGAGCTTACAGTATTCGAACAAATATTAACGTATTCGAATTCAGTTCGATTCGAGTTTGAACTATTGAAAAGTCCGCATAGAACCCTTCTGTAAAGGTGGTTTCGCTGCAGTAATGAGGCGCTCTGCCGTAAGTTCACCTCTAAAAAAATAAATAAATAAAATAAAATTAAAAAAATATCGGCACTACCCTGAAGCCTTACTTCAAGAATAGGTTCACATCGATTCTTCCTTTCTGTAAGTTTAAAAGCTTGTTATGTCAGCTCATGTGTTCTATTGTAACATTTTTAATATGTAACGTATTTTACAAGTTATCACTTGCATTTTAACGAATGTCAAATCCTGCGACTACTCAAAGTTGCTTTCACTTCATTTAAGCCCCCCCCCCCCCCCCCCGGCCCCGACGCGGTGGTCTAGTGGCTAAGGTACTCGGCTGCTGACCCGCAGGGCGCGGGTTCAAATCCCGGCTGCGGCGGCTGCATTTCCGATGGAGGCGGAAATGTTGTAGGCCCGTGTGCCCAGATTTGGGTGCACGTTAAAGAACCCCAGGTGGTCTAAATTTCCGGAGCCCTCCACTACGGCGTCTCTCATAATCATATGGTGGTTTTGGGACGTTAAACCCCACATATAAATCAATCAATCAAGCCCCTTCCCCCCCCTCCCCCCCTAAAAAAGATTTCCTCATGTATTCTTTCAATTAAACAAAACATGTATCACACAGGTTAGTTGGGTGATCATAAATATGCTAATTATTTTTTATAATATGCGATATATACTATTCAATTCGGTTCACTACCAGATCACTATTCGCTTCGATTTGCTTCGGGTCTAAAATTTACTACTCGTTTAAGCATATAAATCACAATGGCGCCCCTTGACGTCGTCATTGATATTATCACATCACATGACATAATTTTGGTACTGTTTTGATAAAGCCCGACGCCGGATTTTTCGACACATCAGATCAGTGGCGTTGCCAGAATTTTTTTTTTTTTTGGTTGTAGAGGGGGGAGGGCGGGTTCAACCACACATTTTGTGTTTGTACGTGCGTTTGTATGTAGACTAATGCAAACTTTAAAAAGATGCGGGAGAGGGGACAGATACCTTCCACTGGATATGAATGATAAGCGAATTTTGCTCGTGATGGCTTTCCAGAATACTACCAGAACCATGCTAGCCGTCACGTTCCATTCACATACGAACTTTCTTTTTCTTTTGTTTTACAGAAAGAAGTGTATAATTATGTCGACTACGTTTATCTCACCTTAGCTAAAGCTAATATAAACGCAGCTAGAGAGAGTTATACTTTAAGAAAATCGCCTGCTTTTTTCACAAGGATTTTTTTATCATGCGTTTTTCGTCGTTGGGTGCTTGCTGTAGTAAACGTATAGCATATGTTCCTAACCTTCGTTCTAGCGATGGTTGTATTTCAAAGACATCTCCGAAAAAAATTTACAAACAATGTAGGTGCCAAAGCTATATATAGCGTCAACGAAAAAGCTCAACAAATGCAACTATGCAAGTGCATAGTTACAGTTGGCAGCCATATGTTCTGAGTGTGAATTAACGCTGCAACGATGAACGATTAATTCATGGAACGCTCTCGGTTTAGCTTTATAGATGCCGGCGAGCTGAGCGCCTTCGTGTGGAAGCACATGGGGAACTTCCCGGGACTTCTCGCTGCTCTGGAGGACCTGAGCGTAGCTGTGACCAAAGGGTTGCAACAAATGGAAAAGGTTGACTCCATGCCCATCATTTTTTTTTTTGTTGTTGTGCGCACTGTATGCAGGGCTGGGTAGTATCCAAGATACATGTACCTATCTAAGATACCCTTGAGGTATCTTCTATCTGTATTGCGATACGTCTCGCAAGACGAGTATCTGTATCTGTGATTCCGTTACATTCGATCATATGTCGTGTATCTTAGGATACAAAATACTGCGGCCACAACGCTATGCCAAGCGAAACATTAATCGATGGCTGAACTCCGCTGCTCAGGCTGGTTACTGGTGCCACTAAGCCACCTTAAGAAAACTAAGGGCAGTGATATCCGATTTTACCTTTTCGCCTGACTCCACCAGTCAGGGTAGGTGATGGGGTGTGAACGTCCCTTTCGGTGAAGCAGAGCAGCACGACAGAGCTCGAGCGGTCTCTACAGGAACTACGTTCGCGTGCTTGTCCACGTGCCTTTTGTTTTCGAGATTTATTTTCTTTTTCGTTGTGTCAAAGCCGTGACTTCTACAAATAGTCACTTGAAAGCGCCGCCTAGAACCAAGCGTGCGTCGATGACCGCACAAATTCCGATTCCGCTATCCTGCATGGCACTGTACACCGCCGGTACTGATGTAGTATCCAACAGAACGAGCACCTACCTATCAGACAATATCTTGGCGTACCATGCCGCTTTCTTCCTGCTGTTTATATTCAAAGTGTTCTTGAAAATATAATTGTTAGCACAAGTGCTTTCTCAGTTGTCCTCCTCTTGCATTCCATATTCAGTGCTCTGAACTGTTTTTTTTTTCTCGGTCTCATGAATGCGATATGCCTGTTGTAAAGTACAGCCAAAATAAGCACTCTCGTTTGTCCTTACTCTTGATTGTCTGCTGTAGTTTTGCTACTACTTACACATTTATATCGATTTGAGTTTACTCTTCTGCCAATTAGAGAAATATACATTTCGTGGGCGTGCGCTTAGTGTACATCTCTAAACACTCTGCTTATTCCTTGGTAAGATCACCGAATGGAGTTTTCGTCATACTAATGGTAATAGTTAGGAGCCATCCTAAAGATCTTAAAAAGGGGATTTGAGAAACATGTATTGTTGTGTCAAATGGTTTGTTTCTTCATGAACGTCCCAAGGAGCCATAGCAGCTAATTTTTTCATAGACACTGATTTTTTTGTTGTGTAACCTTAACAGGTAAGTCGACAATACTTCGTGCTTAATTGCCACAGCTATTAGGAGCGCCATCTGTATCGTACATCTCAACTTAGTCACCATGTATGCTTGAAACAATAGCTTTTTTATTTTACCTATAACTTTTCGTTTTTTGCTCCTCCCCATTTTTACCATTACTAATTGCCACGTAATCAGAAGGCTCAGAAAAATTTCGGTGAGAGTTTGTCGGAGTGGGCCCTGAGCGCAAAGTATATTTCATGAGCGAGTCTGAGTGAGCTTCGAAATTTCTGCCCCGTTTTACATGCAGCTAATAGATTCGTCACTTTGTCTACATCCTCTCAGCACCATACCGACTGTTTTAAGGGTGTGCTTTGCATATGTGCGTATAAAAAACTCGGGGCACCTTATTTTACACGAATGCCTAATGTTTCTTCCATTGCGTGGCGATGGACTTCGCAGACATACGATGCCAACAGCATCCAAGAACAATTTGTCGCCAGATTCTTGGTGAGAGAGACGGTGTTTCAACTCTCCAAACTGACAGCAGCGCTGGATGCCTCCCAGAAAAGGCTCCAGGAAGAGGGCATCCCGCTCATCGACGGAAGCGACAGCAGTGAAGATGATGGCCAGGATCGAATTATTCCCAAGTGGTCAGAAAGCTAAGATTCTTTCTCGTTTAGCAATAAGCTGCGGAATGCTGTCACGAGCAGTCAAAAGCAACACAGGATAAAAAGGTCACCGAATAGAAAAAAAAAGACATTTGTACAGGTGGCAGCCGCCAGCGTGCAAGCAGCGTAGCAGTGGGCAACAGCCACACTACCTTTGCATTGCTGTGGCCACTGCCAACTTTTTACGGCGTGCTAATGTTAACGGGATGCTAATGCTAACGGGATAGTGTTAGCGTGCGCACTTGTGTTTTTCCAGACCGTTGAAAGTTCAAGAATAAAATGGATAAGCACCACACATACTACACAAAAATAAGGCAATCCGCTGTCACAAGTAGCATGGTTTGCTGCTTTCCACAAGATATTGCGACAATGCACCACCAACAAAATTCCGCAACTTCCTTGTGTTGTGTATTTCAGATCTAACAGATTGGTGAAAAAAAAAAAGGGGGTACGACATAAATTTAGACATCTTGTATCTTTCCCAAAAAAACAACTGCCCTCAATACAATTCGAAAAGTTATCAATTACTAATAAACTCAACATCTCTTAGATTGCGTGAAGTATTTCTGTGTCAATGTGAAGCTTTCAAGTTTTATCTAAAAAATCTGTGCTGTCTAAAAGAAAAAAAAGATGAGAAAAATTTAACACCCTGTATATTGCATGCATAGCACAACACTGCCTTGAGGCTATACTCTCAAATGCAGTGCTTAAAAATGGAATTTAACGAAAGCAGCATATAAAAACGGAAATCGAAATTTGAGTGAATACAGTGCTCTCAAGCTGTTTGCCCGGTAAACGATGCCTTGAAAAGCAATAATTATGACACAAGCTTTGTATATAACTTTTATTAAACGAGCGGCTGTACATGTGCAACAGCAATTTTCAGGCTGCAGCTGGTCCCCAAAGCCTCCAAGTGTACAAACCTTGCCCTAGTCGCCTTCTTCCCATCAGGCTACGAAAACAGGTGGTGACGCAAACATCACTTCATTTAGAAGGTATGATATTGCACTTCTTTAGACAACATAGAGCCTGCGATCTAGGCATATATTATTGCCAGACCTTTTTATTTACAGAATCCAGTCAGGACCTGAATGCTCAAATCAAGAAGTTGGAGGCAATCGTAGAAAAGCTTGCAAATCAGGTTGAGATTCTCTTACAAATGCTACCTGAACAGCCACATACGCTGCTCACCTCAAACACCCACAGCGCTAGGACACTCATTCATCAGCTATAACACATGTCAGTTTCAGCTGTGTATACCACATTTCTAACTAAGGATTTATACATTGATTTCTTGTTCTATAATGTTGCACAAGGAGTGCAGATTAATGTAATAGCTGTTGGCAGAAAGCCTACTCAAAAGTAAGCTAGACTGCAGTTTTATGTTAATTGTGCCCAAAGAATTATACTCACCTGCACTAAGTCTAACTAAAACATACATATTTGTGCTTTCTTGTTGAAGGTTCAAGAAATATTGTGTTTTAAAAGATTTGGGCTTAGAATGGGCCTTTTTTTTTCAGCCGAAATTCCAGAAACCACAAGAGGATGAACTGGACATCACAGAGGAAAGCTTGGTAAGCTAAAAAAGTCACCAGCTCTCTGACATTGCAAAAATGCCTAATAAAGGCAGGTGTAGAAAACTACATAACAACAACTTCAGCCTTGCTCATGTATCACAGGAATAAGACACACCTTGTGTATCCTCTGCAATGTTCACAGTTATTTCTAGTGCAGCAAACAATGCCAGTGGAGGAAGGACAGTTGGAAGGCTACAAGGAGTCACTGAAAACTTATTCTGAAAAAACTGCTGCCTGCACTGGATGTCTCTTGTAAGTCACTGCTTGTCAAAGGCTCTTATTTTCTACCAAAATGAAACTTGTCTTCCAGTGTGTCTGTTCGTTTCTACAAGGACATAATCACATATGCAGTTTATGAAGTATGGGAAAATGAAGATACTTGGAACAAGTAAGAAGATTCATTTTATACACTTCATCGAACAGCATTCCAGATTGTTTTGGAATCATTTTACAGAAAGAACAAGAAATGGCAGAGAAATATAGCTATTTAGATGCACAGAATCTCCCATTTGTGTTTTGTGCTCGCTGTTTTCATCTGGAACATTTCACATTTTAGGCACTTACGGTCACATACATACAAGACACTACAGCATCAAAACATTGAGTGCTTGAGAAAGCCTGAATTCCTGAACACTATGGAGATACCAGGTAAGTATTGAAGCCATTCTAGAAAAGAACAGCACCTAAAACCTGATTACTGCAGGATCATGGTGGAAAACTGGATCAGAAATTTGACATTCCACACCTTTTGACAAAGCAAGTGCCTCTGCATTCAAGAAAAGTCAGCCTTTTAAGGACCATACCTTTGCACACTGAAATAAACTAGTAGATATGTCTGTGTGTACTGTTTCATATCTGTCTGATTTCATGACATCTGGGACCAAATCAACAACAGCCACCTGACTGCAACAACAAAGAGCGAGCTGAATAGAAGTAAGTGGGCCAGAACATACTCTTGAAGTATCGGCACTAAACCTGCTAGTTCTAATGAAAGAACAAACACATTGCATAGCAAATATATATATATATATATATATATATATATATATATATATATATATATATATATATATATATATTGCCATAAATATGCACATTTTGAAGAAGATGGAAACACCAAATAGAGAATTACAGGGTGTAATTACTTTGCATCATCTAAATACCATTTGCAGCTTGGCACTGCTAAAACACACTGAGACCCACTTAACAGAAATGTGAAACTGCAGCACACAAAGCATCTTACTCCCAATATTGCCAAGCTATGTATTGCTTTTGTGGAATGTGCAGCAGACACTCAATGTTCCAGCAATTATAGATGTACAATAAGTAAGGCACTACATTTAGCAGTGTGGCCAGCCAATAAATCACAGCAAAGCCAAAGAGCTCACATTAAGAAAGCAATTCCTTGCTGGCACCCATTGGTTGTCGTAAATGAGGGCATTTCACAGCATAAACAACTATGAAGTGCTTCTGCATATCAAGTCACAGAAATCGTTGAAAAAGACTTGACTGAAATTTCGGCCTTTCTATATATGCCTTGGCAAAATGAAGAGTACCTTCTCAAAAGTGACTAAAGCTTAGTGTAACAAAGCTTTGCAATTGCTTAAACACCTCACAGTAACTTCAGACCTTAACTGGACAGCCAAGCTAGACAACATGCACTATGCGCGACAAGAGAAAGCATCATTGCAAAATAGACAGCAATGCTTAGTTTCTTGTGCAACCCAGCCGCTTGAGCAATACAATGTACAGAGATGCAGTGAAAGAAGCTCAATTTGCCAAGAAACCTGTCAAAGCATGGATGGCACCATGGATGCAGTGCCATTAAAGGTCTGTGGCTGTAGGTGACCTCTGGGAGGCTCAATATTAGAATATGCTGTGCACAGGGGGCCTTGCACTTCCATACGATGAAGGTTCTGGCAGCGGTTGCGGAGCTCCTCAAGGCTGAACGGGTATTCAGGACCAGGGCCCTTGCCAAAATAGTCGGGCTCCTCAGGGTACAGGTCATCACCTGCGAAAGAGCTTTTCTCAATGCTTGAACATAGGAAGCATGTGGGCTGCAAACACCAGTAACTTAAACCCTATTCACTTAAACTAAAGCTTTTATGAATGCTAAGTGTTATAAATATTAAGCACGTAAGTGCTCCAGAGAAAGTTTTGAGCTTGACACTAAAAGAATGCATCTCGTGTTGAATGAAATCAGCACCGTCTTTCTTATTAAATGAGGATTTATATTTTTACTTTCTGATAACCAGTCATGAAGAAGGAGATTTACTCCCTGAATAACAAACATGAAACATACGATGCTTTATGATGTGGCTTCCAGTCATGTACAAGGCTCCTAGAGTTTACTTATTGAAATACAATACATCTTAGTAGTTAAAATATTGTTTTAAAATATTTTTTGTATGCCTAAATTGTGGTGCCTTTGCATGAAGTAATAAAACTTTCCTCATCAGAAGGCTTCATTGAGATGGCGATAGTACTACTGCCATCGTTCATAGGAACACTCTGGTGCTTGCTGATACACAGCAGGCTAGCTAGAACTTCCAATTCAAGATGGGTGAAATGATGACCTGTTACGAAGTGTTAACACACTAAAAGTGACTGCCAACTAGCTGCCAACTGTGAACACACAGGACTTGCACAAGCACAGGTTTTAGGCTGGAGGTAGTTTGTTGCAGTCTATAGCACTAAAGGCCATAGCACTGAAAGAAAATGGTGAAGAAAGATGACAGGATGTCCTATCATCTTTGTTGTACCAGTCATTTCAATGCTAAGACCATTACTACACTGTAATAGCATGTTGCGTTACTGCACCATAAGATAAAACGTTCAATTTTATTTTGGGTGAGTAGATGCACACTAGGTGGTGTCTGAATTCACACCCAAGCAATGATTATAACTGGTTAACAGAGAGAGATCACAAAGGCTAAGCTGAAAACACCCCACAGACACAGTGTTTCAATGACAGTCTCGTAGCGAAAAAAAAAAGCCACAAAAATTGCAGAAGCATTTTAAACATAACCTTAACTGTTATCAGGAGCTTCATTTTACTAGCTGCTAGTAGCACAGTTTGCAGGCAAACAGAGAAGAAACACTTTGAATCCAAAACTTCATGAGCTTGACCTACTGATTGCATATAATAAATATAAAGTGTAGCATTGATATACGGCACAGGCAGGAACGCCAGCGAAAGAAGAGAAGGACGAGTGTTGTTGCTGCTCGCACTCGCTTCGCTTGACAGCTGGTCGGTTTTACCTCTGTGCTTTCCCCAGTAAACGTGTCTTCGACTCAAGGCTAACGGCGTACTATCAAGTGGTGGAGGTGCTGGATCCCTTTTCCATCCTGAGACTCCGCAACCGAACTCTACCTTCGCTATCAACGATGTCCACCGACGTTGCACAGCAGACCACTCCTATATCCCCACCTGCCTGCTGTTCCGGCATCCCGAGAGAGCGAGGTCCAGTCATCTTCAGCGGTACCGATGAGCAGGACGTCGAGGACTGGCTCTCTTCATTCGAGCGAGTAAGCGTCAACAATAGGTGGGCCGAAAACGACAAACTTGACCGCGTCCACTTTTACCTCAGAGGAGTAGCGGAGCTCTGGTTCAACAAGCACGAAGCTGAGCTCACCGACAGCGTCACTTTCAAGGCCACCTTCGCGGACGTGTTTGGCTGACCGACAGTGCGCTAGCTCCGAACAGCAACAACACTCGTCCTTCTCTCCTTTCTCTTCTTCTCTTCTTTAAAGTGTCAGTGACAAAAGTACTTGAGGCAATATTTGCAAAGTTTTGTATTTGAAATTGCATTAAGACAGCCCATTTAGGGTCACCAAAATGATGCAATCAATTAATAATTTCATTTGTCCTTTAGCTGTTGCTTTAGCCTTTTTATGTCTGAACCATCGTCAATACACAACGCTAAGAATAATTAAAACATGACAGTGTTATCACATTCTAGGGATAAAGTAACTAATGTGCATGCATCTTATAGCCAACTTTGTATCCTACATAACAGGGGATGGCCAAGTTATGAAAGAAACAGCTTTCCTAAACATCAATATCTGTTAGCACATTTCCCCTTACTAAGAACATAATTAGATAGCCCTCCACTGCACATTTAACCATTACTCACTAGTATTGCAGCTTCTTTGAAGCCACATCAACTGTTAAGTCTTGCATGCAGTTGCACAGTGATTGCACAAGAAAGCTATTCTCGCGGTGTCCGATTCGTGGACATATCCAATTCGGCCTCCCCTGATTGGCTGTAGCGCACCCCCTATTTCCGGTCTTCTGCAACATCATTTTGACGCGATGCAGCTTTCACAACTCTCGACGCAAATGAGAAAGATGGAATGCGTTTCCCCACAACGAATCCTGTGCCCAGAGATACGCATTAGGACACACATGTCTGAGGCCGTGCATGGATCACATTAGCTTTTGAATTAAGTTTAACACGACCGCCCGCATGACACCCCTGAGAGGCCTGTACACATTCCGTGCACCGCTCCTCAAACATCTCGACACGTTCCTAGGCACGTTCAGACTGTTCAAGTTTGTTTAAGAGGCCCATTATTACACTACATTTCATCCACTTAGTTTATTTTTACACTGGGAATGTGCTGGCGGGTTTGGTGTGCCGACGTGGTGTGCGCCATGACGTCACGACTCACTGTTTTTCTGCATAACTAAACGCACTCCAGGGAATCAGACATGTCTACCAATTTGAAACCGCGGGAATAGCTCCCCAGCAGTTGCCTGTTGATGGCCTTGAACTATGACTTGATAAGCATATCTGCTTGAGAAAAGCATCCATATAATAGGCTGCCTGTTCATCACTGTAAGCGATTTCAGGACTCTTGTGTAAAGACAGTAGGCTAGTGAACATACCAATTGGTTTATTGGCCTATTTATTATCTGCGACAGTACTTCCAGATTCCCATGCATAATTTATCAGAGGTTATTTAACATCCCAAAACCACCATATGATTATGAGAGACGCCGTAATGAAGGGCTTCGGAAATTTCGACCACCTGGGGTTCTTTAACGTACACCCAAATCTGAGCACACAGGCCTACAACATTTCCGCCTCTATCGCAAATGTAGCCGCCACAGCCGGGAATCGATCCTGCGACCTACAGGTCAGCAGCCGAGTACCTTAGCTATTAAACCACCGCGGCGGGGCCAAAAAGACCAAATTTGGAGCAGTACGAGAAAGAAATCTTGCATTTAAAGAAATATATGTACAAAATGTTAAACCAACCTAAATTAATTGTCCGTAGTGAATGAGAAAAACATTTCTCAACACTGCTATTTCTATAAATGTAGTATTCTGAATTACCCCGCTGAGCGTACAATGAAGTCCACATTAGCACTTGCCGTGCCGGCGGAATCTTTGACAGACTTTGCGAATTGAAATGTGGCTCTGCTAAGCTGGCGACCTTGAAATTCAGGAGATTCTTTAAACTGAGGAATGGGGATGGCGAAAAAAAAATCTGGTGCATAGGGTTTTCTTTTCTTGGGGGGAGGGGGGCAGCAGAACTGCTCCAAACTATTGCCAGCAACTCTCTTAGACACCAGCGATCCCACTAGTACTCACAATTATGCAGCACATACACGTATGAGTAGTTTAACAAAATGTGCTGTGTTCTTTTACTAGCACTAACAGCGCCTTCCAAACGAAAATACATTATTCTGTGGAACACCAGTGTACTGTGGCGAAGGTGGCTTAAGCAGTGTTCTGCTTTTGCTTGGGTTTGAACAAGGCCTAAAAAATTTTTGACCCCCCCCCCTTTTCTTCTCTTGACGATGGGGTCTGGTTTTGGGCCTAACTTTTCGGCTTGCTTGGAAAGCGCGTTTGACCAAATAAAGTAACAACGGCGCGCAGCCCTTGGCCCAGTGACGGATATCTACCGCCGGGTCATTTATGTGCCGTTGCTATAGCAACAAACGTGGTGGCTGGCAATGATGGTGTTTGCAAAACGGCGACCTTGTTCACGAGCGGAATACACGGCATACATTCTTAACATGCCACACCAGCGTTTGCCGACTGGCTTAGACTAAGAAAAAAAAAAATATATGTGCAAGACATTCAACATTCCCTAAATCATGCACAGTGCATATGAGCAGTGCTATTTCAACAAAAATTACTTTCTTTATTACCCCACTCAGCAGACAATGTTGAGGTCCACATTAGAAGTCGCCACGTCTGTCAAATTACTTGACAGAGTCTGAGGATTCAAATGTGGATCTCCCAGATGGTGACCACGAGATTCGTAAAACCGAAAAAAAAAAACTGACTCTTTATGGCTGCAGAGATGTCATATTGTACTCCAAATCATTTTGCCAGTAACTTTTTAGACGTCAGTGAGCATATTAGTACTCATTATGTGGTGTATACACACATCAGTCATTGAACAAACTGTGCGCTGTCTAGAGACTACTACTATAAGCACCTTCCAAATCTTTTGATACTTTTCCGCAGGTCACCTGTGTACTGTGGCAAAGGTGGCTTAAGCGGTGTTTCTGCACCCGGGTTAGAACAAGACCAAGAAATTTTTAACCACAGCCCCCCCCCCCCCTTTCCCCTTCCATTTCTTTATTAAGGGGTTAGGTTTAGGACACAACTTCTCGGTTTGCTTGCAAGATGCGTTTGTCCAGATAAAGTAATAGCGGCACATGCCTGTCGGCCTGGCAATGGCACCGGATATCTATCGCATGTGGCGTTGCTGTGGTAACCAATGTGGTCACAGTATTAACTAAAGCTGGAAGCGTACAAACGCGAAGTGCTGAGAGTTTGTACACTTCCAATTTTAGTTCCCGATGGTTTCTAGCATGCCATGACCGTGCTTGCTGACTAAGAAATTCATATTTCCCACGAAGTGCCGCTAGCTACGGCAACACATTTTTGTCTTGAAGTTGTATCGTCTTGCCCATATATGTCTGCTGGGATCAGCGGGCCAACGGGCACGCGGCGTTGCTCCTTCATCTGGTCGATCGCGTTTCGTGAG